GTAAAATGTGGCATTAAATTATTGTTCCCTTCTTTTGTGGGTACATATGCAAAGTGACCAAATCATCTAATTTGGTTCCCATAAAGTATATGCTCGAAACTATAGTGACAATCATATTGCAAATTGTAATATAAGATCATCTCAACAAACAAATAATCTGAATTTAAGTTTTATCATCTCAACAAACAAATTATCTGAATTTAAGTTTTACCTTCACTTAATTATTGAGTTTTTAACAAAAATGAATTGGGTTCTTTCTTTTTCAAAAGAGATCGAACGATTTTACCGAATTGAGTATATATAAAAAGCTTTGGAATTCCAAAAGTTTTTTGAATTCATGAGTTGTGATGTAATCCGAATATGCTAGAAAGGGAGCTCTTTTTTCTTTCTTTCTTTCTTTTTTCAATTTTTATTTTGTCGGCTCTCTTCCAAAATTTAGTTATGGTCAATTTCATCTTTTTCTTTATCTAAGTTTAGGTTTTCATCATGGGAATTTTATTATTTAAACTAAAGTTAGGAATTTGTCATTTTCCGATTCCAATAGTATCATTCTGAATCAACTAATTTATTAATAAAAATATATTCACTTCGAAATGAGAAATCTTTGTTTCAATAAGTTTTTGGCATTCAATTGATTTCAATAGCTTTGATCTTGTGATAATTGTTATCCATAAAAAAAGATAGGTTACATAAAAGGATGGCCTATTTTTGTCTTAAACTTTACATATCAATCTAGGGTCACAAAAATTGATGTCAATGTGAAAACATATGTTGATTGTTTGTAATCAAGATCACGTGATTTTGATCCAAGCACCCACATATAAATGGATGCTCCACCAATTCTAGTTCACTTGACATCGTTCCTTGTAATGTTGAGAATAATTTACAATTTTATTCTTATTCCGATAATCTCGTCTTTCATTAAGACTTTCCATTACTATTTGATAACTTTTCAGCAAGTTTTTTGAATTTAAGATATTTCATCAAGAAATATATATAGCGATACTTTCGAAATCCCAAAAATTTATTTCCTTCGTCAAGATTGATCAAGACGCAATTAACAATAAAGTTTAAGAAGTCACCAATTCATGTAAGATTAAAATGTAGAAAAAGTGTCCGGCAATAATATTAAAGGTGTTTGAACCCATTTTTGGAAGGATAGATTTTATATTAGAATTCTATTTGAAAGATTAATTGAAAATTTTAGTTGGAATTAAATTTGGGAATTCAATTGGGAATTTGAAATTTGTTTTGGACTTAAAGAAATTATGAAAGTGTCCAAGTTGCAACAAGAGAGGAAGAAATCGTGCAAAGAGAAGGAAGCATTGCGCCGAGTGCTTAGAACAAGGAAATTAGTGCTTGCTAGCTGTGAGGAGGCTGTGAGAGTGGCAGTCTTATCCGATTTTTGATCAATTCACGATTTTGGCAGATTTTTGAATTCAATTTTATCCCAAACGCTCCATTATAGTATAGACTTAATTATAGTCAAAATCTACTTCACACACACACGCGCGAGAAGTAAGCCTCTATAGATCAATCCTTACATTCTATACAACAATTTATAATCCTCTATTATTGATATTAATAAATTCTCATTTTCTACCCGTGGTATATCTTTACCATGTAACTTGTGTTCTTGGTTAATTTTTATATTGCCCTATTATTCTCATTCCTTTACTTTCTTAATTGGTGGTATCAGAGCGATACATAATTCTTAACAAGTGATATCAGAGCGATGTTTAATCAACTCAGTTCAAGGTTTGGTTTTTTGTGACGACAAATATGAAGTGTGATATTTCGCTGCTGGATTGAAACCACCAAATTTTTGCTTTGACAGGTAAATATGCTTTCAGTGCTCACTTAGATGAATTTAGATGATATATTATTTGGATTTGACAAAATGCCCTCAACTCGAAGTGGGAGGAAAGATAACATAAGGATCGAAAGGCCTTATCATGATTCTTTAGAAAATTTTAAAGGAAAAAATCATCGTTGAATTATAGTTGAAATTGGAATAGTTATGCATGACAAAAAGTCTAACTAGTAAGTTACTTCTGAAGCAATGCTTCTATTCTCATCATTTGACAAAAAATACATCATTGAAAGATCACCTAACTATTTTCAAGAAAATTATCTTTGATTTGGAAACCTTGGAGGCTAAGTATGATGAAGAAAAATTAGGGTTGATATTATTGTGTTCGCTTCGTACTTCATACATGTTGTTTAGAGATACAATCTTATATAGTGGTGATACTCTTACCATTAAAGAAGTTTATGATACTCTATTTTCAAATGAGAAGATGAAGTATCTTGTTGGATATGAGGCTTGTGGAGATGGCCTTGTTGTTGATGGTGGTTATATGAGGGGCATATTAATGTCTAATTACAGTAATAAAGTCTGTAATGGCTTGTTACAAGTTGAAAAAGAAAGAAAAATTAACTGTTACAAATCCAAAGGAAAAATTATTGGAAACTTCAGGTGAAGCCAGAATTGTACAAGATTGCTACAACAAGTAAGAACTTTTGGTTACTTCTGACGGTGACTTCAAATCTGACAAGGATTGAATTCTTAACACAACTTACACTTTTCATATGTATCATAATAGAGATTTGTTCTTAACATATGAAATAGTTTCCAAAGGTGTTGTTATAATGGAAAATAATTCAACTTGTATGATAGCTAGAATTGGAATGGTTAAGATGTTGGATGGAACTGTCAAGACACTTAATGATGTGAGAAATATTCCTGATTTGAAGAGAAATCTTATCTCTCTGAATACTATTGATTCAAATGGGTACATGGACATTTGTGCATGTGGAGTCTTGAAGGATAGTAAATGTTTCTGTATTGTGTTATTAGGACAGAGAATGTCCCAGTTATATGTCTTACTTGGTTCTACAGAATCTTTGAATATTATGCTAAAGTGATGGACTCAGGTGTATTTTGAGTTTGGTTCAGTACGTTGGAGTTTGGTTTAGAGTCCATATTAAAGAACTTGATTTAGTTGAGTCTAGACGTTATGGATAAGCCACTTTGCCATCATTACCAGCGGTGCCATTGTATTCAATTTTTAGAGACAGACCTAAAAGAGATATTAAGTCTCCAAAAATGTATGTAAAGCTAATTTATCTGTTTATACTTTAAGTGTGGTTGAAAGTATTAAGTCTAGCAAAAATTTCTACAAAAGCTTTTCGTTATGTTGATTCTACTACAGGGTTTGTTTCTACCTTGTATAGTAATTATTAAGTTATTTGTGATTTTATTACTCACAGGGATAATTTGAGAAACTTTGGAGCCCAAGGTAATCCTACTGAATAGTGTTTGGATTCAGTTGATTTTTAGTTATTGAGTTTGCCCTAATTGAGTTTTGTGAAAAAGGTGGAGAATTTTTCCATTAGATTTTTTTGAAGAGTTAAGTTTTATTTCTTGCATTGGAATTTATCTGCAAATAACAAATTTTTGAAATTTTGTTCATTGTAGTGTAATTTTTGTCAAGGTGAAATTTGTTAGAATTAGGATGTAACTCGAATTCTATTTGGAAGAATATTTGGAAATTTTGGTCGAAGTCTATTCGGGAATTCTAGTTGGAAGTCAATTTAGGAGTTTAATTGAGAGTTTGGATTTTGGACTTGAAGAAGTCATGAAAGAGTCCAAGTTACAATAGGAGAGGAACAAATCGTGCAAAGAGAAGGAAACGTCACACCCAACACTCGCTATGTGCTCAACACTGCTTGAAAGCTTAGAACAAGAAAGGTAATGCTCGTTAGCCGCAAAGAGGACACTCGAGCGGCCGGCCTCTGCTCTACCTCCGCAAGACCACCTCTCGAGCTGCGCTCTTATTTAATTTTTATCAATTCATGACTTTGACAAATTTTTGAATCATATTTTATCCTAAACACTCCATTATTGTGTAGACTTAATTGTGGTCCACACATATTAGGCTCTTCTTGCAATATACATAATGAGTAAACCTCTAGAAAAATTAATCCTTACATTCTACACAATAATTTGTAATCCTTCATTATTGATATTAATAAATTCTCATTTTCTGCCCGTAGTATAGTTTTATCACATAAATCTTGTGTTCTTGTTTGATTTTTATATTGTTATATTATTCTCGTTCCTTTATTTTCTAAACAAGTGGTATCGGAGCGATACATAGTTCTTAACATTTTATAATAGTGATTCTTTGAAGAATGTGTGATTAAAAATTAGAAAAAATATATTTTGGTTTACATTTTAAAACTATTTTACTGAAAGAATGTGTGATTGAAAATAAGTTTGGAGCAAAATGATTTTTATATATAATAGGTTCAAACAGGAGATGAATCTCTATTAGTCTAAACCTTTTAACACATTAGACCCTTGTTTAGTGAAGATTAAAATTAAATTTTTAGTAGATTTTAATAAAAATTGATGAAATATGTGATTGAAAAGTTGTGGATCCAATGAAACATACGGTGAAAATTCAAACCAACTCATGGGAGTCTTTTTCACCAAACAACTATCTTTATTCTAGAGTAGAACTTTATAGACTAAGAGATAGATAGTATGGTAAGATTGTTGATTTTAACTTAGATTAAACTCTAGATCAAGATTTTAATTTGTACCAAACATGAGCCTAATCGAGATATGTTATAAAGGTGTAGGGCCTAACCTTAAGCCAATTGACTTATTATAAAGAAGGATTTACTTTTTAACTTTAAAGTGGATTCTTTGAACGCCAAGTTTGATTTTTGAAAACGTTTTTTTTCACAGAATCATGCTACATGGACAGATTTGTTTCGCAGAATTGTTTCACAATAATACATGACAAAGTATCATTGAAAGATGAAAAAAGAAAAGAAAAAACTGATTGACGAGGTGCTGTCTTGTAGGAAACCTGTGAAACTTTTCTGCACCTATGGAATAATCCTTTTTCACATGACCTTTTATTCTATCTCCACATTTCCCTATCGTTCAGGTCCTTGATAAGCAATTGTGCCACGTAAGACACCTCAATTCTTCAGTGAATACAATTTCCCCGCAGCTATATATACATGCACGCATCTTCATGCATTTCACAAAAAAATCAGTCAAGTCTAGTCTAGTCCCTGCAGTTTCTCAATGGCTCTTGTTCTTAAAATCGTGTTTTTGATATTCCATATCATGATTTGCTTAGTAGGTTTTGAGCCAGTTGCAGATGCTAGACACAGACAGGCCGAGAAAAAATCTAGTTTTGGAGATGCTGAGGATCTTGTGACTGATCTGCCGGGTCAGCCCCAAGTAAAATTTCGGAATTATGCTGGTTATGTTACTGTAAATGAAAAGAATGGAAGGGCACTCTTTTACTGGTTTTATGAAGCCACGACTCTTCCAGATGAAAAACCTTTAGTGCTGTGGCTCAATGGAGGTAAGAAAACACAAACATATGAAATACTTGTTTCCATCTTTTGGGGACATACACCAAATGAACCTTATCTGTTGAATTAAGATTTGTTGTCACGAACGTAATATCTACACACATATCCATATATCATCTCTTCTTACTAAATGAAAAGATGCCAAGATGTCAAAAATATGTTGGTGACTTGCCTAAGAAGAGATGATTTGTCGACGTGATAAAAATATATTGGGAAGACAGTAAAAGATTGAGGCAACAAATACGAGCTTAGCGCAAGGTTATTATAATAGAATTTTCCAAGTAAATCGTTATGACTGTCATTGAACTTTATGTTTGTGGAGTACTCAATACAACTTGAGCATATCATGGCTCTAAAAATGTCTTAAAACTATAATAGTCATAATGAACTTCATTGTATAGGATCTTAGATTCCATCTTAAAACACGAATCTCATTAAGATGACACATGGATTAGCTCGTTTGAGTTTGTTAAGTTCTAATATTGTATTGAATTTTGGAGATTCATTTTAAAAAGATTAATTCTATTAAGAGAACCGTTATATGTTAGTTATTTATTTATTTAATAGTTATTGTGAGATTTATCCTCAACACATTGAATTCCACTAAATTTTATATTTTTTGAAATATTTAAAACATATAGAGCATGTGATTGCCTTGAAAGTTATGCTCTCTTGCTAGCTCCCAGGCAGTGCCTAGGGCTGAACAATTATATATTTGATACGTGGCGCTAAATGTAACAAATGACCAACTTTTCTCGCACAATTCTCTTCTTTAACCTCGTCCATTCATATATAATCTAGCATACTAGACATGGCGTCACTGTACTTCATTCTTATCACGGTCACCATGATTCCAGTATAGCAACCTCTTTGACCAACATTTTTATCCGTTAAACGGCGCACAAATTCTGGAGTGTCCTTCATCAACATATATTTTAAAGAAAGAAAGATTCCTGATCAACATTTTCTTGAAACAGATCAAATGATGTTTTAATATATAAACACTATGAATAACTATTATGAAAACTGAATTATACTTTTCCCATTTTTTATTAATGTTAACTTATAAGTGGATGCATTACTTTTCTTCTTTTCCAACTCACTGTAAGCATATTTTATACGCTAAGGGCCTAGTGCATTAATTTGGTGCTTTGATTCACTGTTATCCAGTAAAATGACAAGATGCTGTTTGTTTCAGGCCCAGGTTGTTCTTCTGTGGGATATGGTGCAACACAAGAAATTGGTCCTTTTCTTGTGGACACTGATGGACATGGCCTAAAATTTAATTCTTACTCATGGAACACAGGTTTATCATCTAACGAGCTTTTAAGACGAGACATTTCAATGTTACAAAGTTCAAATAGATTAATTTGTTCACGTGTGTCTTATTCTTCTAAAAACATTCTATTAAAGATCGTCTTTCTTGTATGATGGTACAGAAGCCAACTTATTGTTCCTAGAATCTCCAATTGGCGTTGGATTTTCATACTCGAACACAAGTGGTGACTATGATATTCTCGGAGATTACTCTGCCGGTAGGTCAAACATTACGTAAATTCTTAAATGCTCAAATTCCGGCCTCAATCATGAATTTGTGGGGCTAATAAGGGAAGATCATGAAAATTGTGCAAGTAGCAAACTTTTCATAAGGAATGAACTTCCCGTTTGATATGTTGAAGACTCAGTTTATATAAATAAATGTAATCTATAGCTGTTTAAACTTTTAGATTTTCATACTGCAGCCAATGATTCCTATGTTTTCCTGCACAAGTGGTTCCTCAAGTTCCCATCATACAGGACTAGGAAATTTTATATCGCCGGGGAGAGTTATGCAGGTACATTATCTTGTGTGTTGACGTCAGTTTTCTGATTGGTGGCAATTACTAGAATATTCATGCTACTATATGTACGCTTGACGCTTTTCCGACAGGGAAATATGTTCCCGAGCTGGCTGAACTCATTCATGACAGGAACAAAGATCCCTCATTATTCATAGATCTTAAAGGCATTATGGTATAATTCTGTTCCCATTTAATTTAAGGATTGAGTTCCAAGCTGACTGTCAAGACCCTAAGATTTTAAATGGAGCAAATGATCGCAGAACCTATTACTTTATTGCAGCTGGGCAATCCCGAAACATGTGACGCGGAAGATTGGAAGGGTATGGTGGATTATGCTTGGAGCCATGCTGTCCTTTCTGATGAAACCCACAAAACAATCAAAGAATCTTGTGACTTTTACAGCGATGATCCGTGGAGCAATAAAGATTGTTCTCAGGGCATAGCCGAATATTATCGACAGTATGATGAGATAGATATTTATAGTCTTTATACATCAGTCTGCATTCCATCTAGTGAAGGAAAGAAGTCATCTTTAGTGACAGTCAGAAGCTCATCTAGCAAGGTAATGGAAGTTATATTATTTAAACTTCATAATTTCTCAGTTTTCGACCTACGATCTTCGTATTTAGTTTGATCTCTCACTTTAATTTAGTACATTTAATTCTAGTAAAAGGTTGAGACAAACTTGCTAGAAATGTACGATTGGAGATGTTAGCTGCAATTTTCCCATATGAATTGAACGTAAGATTAATTTTGAGAAAATGATTTGTTTTTTAAGATGCCAAGGGTCCTGGGTGGTTATGATCCATGCACGGACGACTATGCAAAGGCTTATTATAATCGACGTGAAGTTCAAAAGGCTCTTCACGTTGGTGATGGAACTACCCTCATCAGGAACTGGACCATATGCAAGTAGGTGATCTATCTAATTGTTATTGACATACTTAAGAAAATGGATTCACATGGTCGACTTGATAATTAAGTTCAAAAAATTAACTTTAAGTTTTTAGATGAATTATAATTCTCTGTTATTGTTAGTAGTGTTGTTTTTCCGTAACGCTCATAATCCGATGCAGTTTGACAGTCTATTCTAACTGGTCCTATTCAAGAACGTCGGTTCTTCCAATATACAAGAAGCTCATTGGAGCAGGACTTAGGATATGGGTTTACAGGTAGATAAATGCTTGCTTGCCAATTCTTTCCATTATGTTACTTTAGTTTTCTCATATGCACACAAATCCACAGCCAATCAAGAAAAGACACCTACCATTTTTTTCCTCTAACACAAGCCAAAAAAATTACTCCAGAGGTTAACCTTTGGAACTTACGTGCATATACATAAATCTAAGACATATAAGCATCTATTAAATACACGAGTTTTTAACGATTTAAATTAATATCAGATAAAGGTCTGAACTCAATCTCGCCATTATCCAATTTTGAAAAGGCCACATGCCAGACCTATAAAAATTCGTCAGTACATAAAGCGTAGAGGAACCTCATCAAAAATATTTAAATAAATAAGAATTTTTTTATTATTATTATTATTATTTTTTATTTTTTTTTGGCTGAATCTTATAATATATATGTTATGGCAGCGGAGATACTGATGGTAGCGTTCCATTTTTGTCCACAAGATACAGCTTAAGCTCCTTGGGACTGCCCATCACAATGGCCTGGCGACCTTGGTACCATCAGAAACAGGTATTTGTAAAAAGCTACGATGCACCATTTCGACATATTTCGAAAGTTGATACTTTTATAAATTTTCAAAAACGAAAAAATATAATTGGGGGTTCGACTATATGGGCATAACTAATAATTCACTTAATATTGGATTTTTAAATATTAGAACTGTTTGGAAAATATGGAGGAGAAATGGAGTAGAGACGAGAATAATATCACAATAATACAACAACAAAAATAATTAACACCAGAAACTTGATAAGAACAAGATCAAAGGCTCGAACGCGTAATCGCTCTCCTCAAACTATATTTGCCTCTTTACGGAATTGATTGAGATGCTTAAGGATTTTGGCATACGGTTCGTAAGATTATATCAAGTCTTGTAAAGGATCTAGCACTAAAGCACAAATGCGACCCTCCAAAACTTTAAGAGCACAATAAAGAAAAGAGTGTGAAAATAAATCAAGAATTTGATCTTTGATAATGGAATGAATATGGATCACAAATGTTTCTCACTTGTTTTTGGTTGGAAATGCATTACCTATATATAGGCCACCACCAGTGTGCACAAATTGGTGCCAAAATAGGTCGAAAAGCCACCACAATTCAGAGTTGCAACAGTAGGAAATAAACCTACAACGGTCAATTTTGTATAACTATGCGACTACATAGTATAAATCTATGCGATTGCAAGAACAACCCAAAGAGGCCCCCAAAATTCCCTACAATAGGCCATGTAACTACATAGTATAAATCTATGCGGCAGCATAAAACAAGATCTTACCTCTAATACCTTTTTTTGATTTTTCTTCATATTTATTCATCCAATTTCATTTTTTCTTGAATGTTGAACAACATTTCAACAAGAACGAAGTAATTAACAAGTAATTAGTTCTTTTTTTTTTTTCCTTCAATGAGATTATGAATTAACTTTAGAAAAAATTAGTTTGACTGATTGTGTTAATTTTAATATTTAATTAATGTGAAATAGCATTTCAAAAATTAAAATGATATATAATATATTATATTATTATAACCATAAAATAATATTTTTTATTTAATGTAATTCATGACTTTTATAGAAATAATCTTTTAACGTTTCATGTTGTGCATCATTTGAACTAGGTTGGTGGTTGGATTCAAGAGTATGAAGGACTTACATTCGCAACATTTAGAGGAGCTGGTCATGCCGTACCTATATTCAAAAGGAGTGAATCCCTTGCATTCTTCTCATCCTTCCTTTCTGGGGATTCTCTACCTTACCAGCGGACTTAAATTTGGACTTCTATGAGAAAATTCTTGGAGAAATTAACCTTAAAATCTTCGAGTATTATACGTATTTTGTGTGATTGATAAGTGTGTCAGAAAAAAAATTAATAGAGTGAGATCGTTCTTAGTAAAAATATTATGACCACCTCTCCATTTTTTGTATACATATGTTGCCAATAAATAGAGGTCAAGCAATAGAATTCCTACTATGAAACTATTTCTATTGTTGTAACTTGTAATTCCCCTTTCCGGTTTATAAGACAGAAGTTGATATTCGAATAGTTAAGTTCGTAATAAGGTCAATACTCAATTAATGCATTGTAAATGTTGTTAAGGGATAAAACCCCATCTCGAATAAAGATGAGCCTAACTCTCTAAATAAGATTGACCTTTTAAAATAAATTCCTAAATTTTAATATGATATTAGAGCTCATTAAATTTCATGAAGCAATTCGAAGCTACTCCTGTTAATAAGATTGGTCTTTTAAGATGAATTTCTAAATCTTAACACATGTTGAAATTGTTGAAGGGTTTATATGAGAGAAAGATTGAGATTTTTAATAAAGCAGGTCGACTATCAATTAAATTTGAGGGGGGCATTGCATCAGACATTAGGGCTCTAATTTCTGGTGTTAATAGTCCGGTTTTTGATTCTTTATGAGGTTTGAATGTTTGACGTCCCATTGGGTCCCAAATTGTATGCCGTAAAACTCCAAATTTCTAGTGTAGATTATATTTTTTCTTGAGGCCGTGAGGCAAAACAGAAACGTGAATAAGATTAATAGGGTCTTGTCGTAACACATGAACAAGTGTTGCTTGAATTTCGCTCAAACGGATATAAGGAATATTGAAATCCATCAAATAGAACAGGAACATTGAAATATTATTAATAATATTAAACGTCCATCTTGTTTTTAAACCATTAACATATACTTAATGACTCAAAACAAGTTCTAACCATATTGAGATCCTAATTCAGATAAATGCAAATAAAAGTAAAAAATTGTAAAAGATGAAATACCTTTAAATAAACTTTTAAAAAAGAAAAGAAAAGAAAAAAGCTGTAATGGATCATTAAACTACGAAATTTGACCTTGAAAGTTCGACAACGAAGGCCATTATTGTGACCTCGACAAAATTTTGAAGAATCGAAGAATGCTTTCGGATTGTACACATGGATGAAAATTTGACAATTGAGCTAAAAGTTATCCACATTTTCGTATATCATTCTTATTTCTTCTATTTTCTAGTTGGTTTATGATTTTCTCTTCCAATTGTTCCGTATCACTGTGGATGTAGGAGTTTTGAGTTCCATCTTAAGAAGTTAATAATGTCAAGAATAGTAATCAAAACAATGATATGTTGTTTGTTACTTTGATAATTATCTCTTAACATGTACTTAAAAGACTAATCTTACTAAGAGGGCTCTGTACTTTATCAAATTTGAGATTCTATTTTAATATGTCAATCTTGCTAAGTAAAGTAACACAATCTATTTTGCTTATTGATTTTATATTTAATCGATATGAGATTTATCACTTAATATGACACCGCAAGATGATGACACATTTGAGTATATAAATCTTAAAATTCACTTTTCATTTCTTGAGTTTTAATTGGATCGAATTACTAGTTCAAATTTCATGAGCCTGCATACTAAATTAAAATTTGATGTTCAATTTTAAAATATCAATCTTATTAAGAGGAATAATTCATATGTTGGTCTATATTTTCATTTTTATTCGTTGTAAGTTTTATCTCTTGACACTTACTAACCTCGTAAGATGATAGCTTATTTAAGCACACTAATCTTAGAATCTGAATTCTTGTTTGAGGCTTTGATCTAGTGGGCTTTAACAAGCTCTTTGTCCTTCACCAAGAAAGGAGAGCGAGCAAAGTACTGCATGATTTGGTAATGACTTCGCGTATGATATATTAATTTTAGATGTGATTCAATCTTAAAAGATTAATGTTATAAGAAAAATAACCAAGTATGAAAGTACCTTTAACAATACGAGAGAAATTCATTACAACACATGTAAAATGGGAATAAACATATTTCTTTCTAATTAAAAAATAATAATAAATTGAGAGATCTCTTATTAATTATTGTAAAAAAATTATTAAAAACTAACTTCTCATATTACAAACTTCCACTCGAAAGAAAAAATAGAAAAATCAAATTAAAATCATAAAGATAATCTTTTAGAAGGGGACTAATGTTCGAAAATATCTTTAGCATGATTTTCGAGTCCCACAACCAATCTAAACATGTTTGCAATGCATGCAATGTAGATTTTAGGGCTTCGAATATATTAAAATTGACAATATTTTCGATATCAATCTCAAATTCTAGACAAACCCCTAAACTTATTCACATTTTATAAAAACCTTATACGTCCAAATAGGCATGTTGTTGCAAGATGTTTTAAAACTGCTATAGCACAATGAAACGATCTTCCTAACTAGTCTTTGTAATCAATATTGAGCTTTTAGATATTTTTCAATAACACTATAAACAAATTGCAACATGAATCCCACAGTAGTCTTTTTAGCTATTAAAGTTTCTCTATTTGGTCCATTAGATGCCGATTTGATAGTACACAAAAGAACTAATGGAAAAAATTGATTAATAATTAGTACGTACTATTAATTATGGTATATTTAGTAGGTTAGATTATATAAGCTGAATTTAGTTAAAAAATAATAATAATTAACTTTTTATCCATTATTTTACACAATAGAGTCCATTATTCAGCACCAAGTATTTAGTTAAAATCGCTTGAAACTTTCTCAAATCTTTACATTTTCGTGTATCCTCAGTTGTCGAGCGAGTCGAGTTCGTTGGCTAGTGAAACAAGTGCCTCGTGTACAAAGAAGAAAGTTGTAAAGCACCACGGGATTTTTCTGAAGTGGTAGAAAAAACCTAATGCAAATCAAAGTTGAATCAAGGTTCAAAGGATTTTAATTTTATTCTTAATAAATTTAAATACAATTTTTCTGTAAGTATCATATTTCTCTCTCCATTTATCAATAGACAACATAAGATCAATCTTTAATATTGGTTGTCAAGTCTACTTTACTAAAGAAATCACAGAAATGCAGTAAAGATTATCAGTTTATCAGTATTAATGTAAGTGCTAAAACATACATGTGAAAAACATTAGGATAATTAAATTTTTTATCTGCACACTAAGCCTCCAATTCATGGTGTAATCTGACTTTACTTGAGTCAATAAAGATAATCAATAAAGATTTGGGGTCAAGGCGGAGTGAAGAGTGTATTTCGAGGTAGGAGCAAGCGATTGGGGAGCGGAGCTAGAGTTTTAAGGAACTGGAGATAACGATTTAGGTTTTGAATACAGCGTCGACTTGTCGTGTTGAATATCGTTCTTGAAAGGGCTTTTGCCTGTCCGCAATTGTTCGTGTTGAGAAATTTTTGGAACCAAAGTCGTTATTCCTAATGCGATTTTGCCTATTTAAATTAACCAAATATTGGGCCTTTTCCAGAGAAGAAATACAGCCAGAACATTAAATTAAAAATATAAGTCAATTTTTACTACACATTTCATAGAACTTATAACTTTACAATCCCACGTTCTATCAGATTTTATCAAAATTTACTAAAAATTTGATTTTCATTTAAATTAAGTGAGGGTACATGTGAAATTAACGGTGTGTACAATTCATATTCAATGGAAACAAAGTCTAGAATTAATAAGAATCTTACAAATGAATTTGTTTGCTTTGCTTTCATAATTAAAGTTCGATTTAACAAAACACATTGAATGTTTGACTCAAATAGAATTTTCCAACTCAAAATTCCAGAGCAAGATTCGGAATGAAAAGATTGATTCTCGATTCTAATCCAAAATCATTTAAAGCTTAAGCAAAACCAAATTGAATCGATAGTTTTTTGTCCGTTACTTTTCTAAACTCCTCCTTGAAATAATATCAGTGGACATTATTAATTAAAGAGTTCAAAATATTTTCTGACATAATTCAGTTTCATTTAGTACTACATACATTGGTACTGCAAATGACGATATTAATAAATGAAATTTAAATTTCTTTTTGATCTTAAAAACGACAAAATACTATATAATCTACCTGACCAAATGACACACACTAGACAACACGAGAAGATGCCGACTTACGTTTCTTTTCCACCTTAAACACACAAAATAAATGTTATGGGTCCTCTCTTCAGCTGAGTTCCAGGGATTTTGGATACACGTGAAGAGTGCGCAGTAGGCAGCCCGTCCCTACAATTAAATATATCCGTTCGTTAAAGTTGAATGTAAATTATACGTTATTCTAAAATACTTTATAAGTAATATAAAAGTAATATTTGATATCAATTTGTTGGAGGAATTGATAAGTCTCGAACAAATTAAAAATAATAATTTAGCATTGAAATTTAAGAGAAGAAAATTATACTCAAATATTCCCCACAAAACTCAATTTCTACGATTCAGATTTTTTGTAGTGATAAAATATTATAAATGAGCAATCTTTTTATATTACATTTGATTCATAAAAATTAATTGTTAATACATAAATTTAAACACCCATTAAATTTTTCAGATACATGAATATGAATAAATCCATCTATAATAACTTTATATTCATATAATTCAAGATTCATCAAGTGAAAATTAATTGAATCTAGATTAATGTGAATGTTAATTAACTAAGAATTAATAACAAAAATTTCATAAATGACTGTAGTTTTATAGTATTTATTACCTATTGAATAATGGAAAATAAGGTATTATTGAAATAATTGAATTATGAAAGCGTTAAAATCATCCAAAAAATGATCCTCCCTTAAAGTGATATTTTAATATATTATAGATTTTGTAATTATAAAATTAAGCACCCATTAAAATTTTCAGATATATGAATATGAATAAATTCATTTATAATAACTCTAGATTCATATAATTCAAGATTTATCGAGTGAAAATTCATTGAATCTAGATTAATATGAAAGTTAATTAATTGAGAATTAATATCACAAATTTCATAAATGACAATAATTTTATAGTATTTATTACATATCGAAGAACGGAATATAAAGTATTATTGAAATAATTGAATTATAAAAGAGTTAAAATCGTCCAAAAAAGATTCTCCCTTAATGTGATATTTTAATATATTATAAATAAAAGACTACCACCTTGTAAATAACGAAGCAACCCATATGATGATTATTAGAAAAATTATAAATATGTACAAAAAAAAAATGGATAAATAAATATTGCATCTTTTAAAAAATTATAAAAAATAAAAATAAAAGCTGCTGTGTAGAAGCATAATTACAAGGCTCAACTCGAACAAATTCCAATCCCTGCACTGAATTATCTTGTACAGGGAAAGGACCATATAAAAATTTGCCTAGAACAAAATTTTTCAAGTAGCAGTGATATCCTTGCTGCCGGCATTGACTTTCCGATGACGCCTTGATTTCCGGTCTCTCCCGCGCTTTGTTGAAGCCTTCTTGATTGGACTACTTACAATATTTTCAGTAAAAGTTCCAGGTGGCGTGTTTAGTTTTTCATCGATAATGGGGGGTGGAGGATGAACAAGATCAATGGCGTCCGGAGGAGGGAGAGCCCAGTTCTCAATTAAGTCCCTATGGTACCCCTGCAAAAAGTAAAAAAGTGATAAAAGTTACGAGCTGCACAAACAACAAACTAAGTCTTGTTTCCTCACTAAGTACTGCTACTGCCAGGCCTGAATAGGAAGGGCCTGGCATTTCACACAAAAACACTCATTTTGTGAAGAACTCCTCCAAATTATGATAAAAGGATCCAATAACGACATGGTGCTAGCCTGTCACCTAAACACGGGAAAGAAAGAAACGTTGTGGGACAAAATATCAGCAGTGTTCTTTCTTCAGAATTTCCACGTAAAGGCAGACCCACTTGTTTCTCTTTCTTGAACAAGTTAATGGGAGATCATTCACCGGGAAAGAATGTATGATGTCAAAAAGGGTATTTGAAAGGTAATAGATAACCTAAAGGAAAAACAAGATGTAAATGCAGTTTAAAGGTGGTAAATAGCAAGTATAGTTTGAAGAATAGTTGATAGCAAGATACAAAAGAAACAGATAAATACGTTTCAGTCTATCTTCTCAGAAATAATAACTCTCAACAAAAATAAGATCACCTGCACCACAAAGTTACGCCTTTCACAATCCAAGAACATATTGATGGTGTAATTGGTCTTTGACGCAATCTTGTCCCTAACAGTTGAAAAACTGATCTGGTCTCTGGAAGTAAAACGATCCACTTCATTAAACCAAAGACAGGTGAAGAGGTTGGAGATTGGAATGTGCTCCCTTATTATAACACATCCTTCAGGAACATCTAGAAACCATATCATCAACGCATATTAGTCCAACATGGAATGGCAGATCCAGTCACGAAAATAAAGAAAAATAAGGGGAAAAATGGAATTGACTGTCCTACCACTTGTAATAGGAAATTTATCGGCTGAAAATGGGGTTAAACCCTCCTTTTTGTAGAAATCAATTTGGAAGTCAATGGAAGCATTTTCGTACTTCCCAGCAGCCTTATTAGCTTCTGCTTCTACAAATACATCAAAACGCTTATAATGTCTTGAAATAGCAAAGCTAGCATTTTTCCTCCATAAGAACCTGTAATATTATTTAGTAAAAGAAACGTCAATCCGAGCATCTCTATTATAGACACGGGGAAAAGGAACCAAAATAAAATTCCTTTTTGAAAGTGATTACACTATCAATGGAGCATGATGGGATTACATATTCTTTTATGACCATAGTTGTAATAGTAGTATTACTAAATAACTATATATATATATCTATGGATATTTATTAATTACGATACACGTAGATAAACAAATTGGAATTAAGTTAACTATCTTCTCTTCCTTTTAAATCACACATACATTAAGGAATGTGGATTCTAAAACTTCACTAAGGAAGAGGTACCCCATGGAATATTTTTCTCCATCTTATTTGATGTGCACAACAAACTTAGCCTTATTTCCAATAAATTTGTAGCTACGTGATCCTTCTTTGCCATTCTACTCTGTCGGTTGCTAGAGTTGCAGGGAGATCAAAAGCAACTAAATTTGATGTACAAAATGCTGGAAAGAAAAACCTAAAACAACCAGGACCCAGAGATTCACATCCACAATGAAGCCTCAGAAGCTGACGTGACAGTTATATGTTACACTTTACCTTGACCCAAGCATCTTCAGCTAGCAAAAAGCATCATGTTTGACTATCATTACTACCTCAGAAAGCCCACAACTGACAAAGTAGTGTATCTTCATATATGTCAAAGACCTCTGTTAGTCTAACTAACATCGCCAAAATTCATAAGCAAACATTATAACGACCCAAACTCTATGCCTAAGTTTGTCCAGTTAGTACCGGGATTCAACTTCAGTATCTCATAAGGCAGATGTCTCCGGTTCAAATTCTAAGGAACACGACAGAACATGACATAAAGCCTTGAGGTGTGAAGAGAGATGCCCTCTCAAAGTGGACAATACGTAATAAGTCAACGACTTGGGCACAGATGCCTGATCATTAAAATAAGGCATTGCATCGAAGAACATATAAACTGCGGTCACCTTGAATAAGGTTAATCAACAAATATTTTTACACCTCAAAGAAAAGTTAGGCCACTAATAGTATCTACCAAGCAAAAATATTATTTAGTGTCACTCGTATAATCTTTTTTTGCTACACTCGTCGAAATCTTGAACACAACATGACTAATAAAAGTATGTTTTGTAACAACAGAAACCAAAAATGTGGCTACTTACAGTAAAATAAATGTACCTTTCAAGAATCTGATATGGATCCACAACCAGCTCAAGTTTTGCATCAACCCATAGCGAGTATCGGGCATTAGGGAAAAGCCTATGAAGTAGAAGCTTGGGAACCTGACATGCAAGAGCATACTCAGTTAAACAATCTGTAAATGCATCATGCATAAATGGCTGCACAGTAGCCGAACAGGCAGAATGGACAAAACTAGAAGAAATAAAGCACAAGTTGAAGAAAGGATTGCCATCAACAATTCGTTATGTAAATATTATCTTCATTATGGTAATGCGTAGATAAAATGGTAAAGCCACTAGATGTGGCATGCGTAATAACAAGTGCAATACCAACCATATCAAAAAAGCAGGGGTGGGGAACCCTATTTGACTGTGTCATTATCTGACATAGACTATGCCACACATTCTGCATGAAATACTGAAAGCAATAAAGAAAAGCTTGGACATCATTAAACAAGTGCCTAGTAGTAAAAAGTTAAAAATGGAGAGTAGACAAATTAGGCATGACAGCAACAAAAGCTTAAGGAAGCAATGAATATATTATCATGCAGAAAAGGAGAAACAAATCTGAATATCCATTTACTGCAAAATGATTTATAACTGAACAGAATCCAGAGTTGACAAGAGTGGCAATTGTTAATAATACTCAATACTGTGAAATTTGAATGATTTCACTGCAAATTGGAACTCGTAAATGTTCTTGAACAAAATTATCCGAGAAAGGTCCATTTAAGAGACGGCTGTGCATATGCAAAGATGAGCACTAACTCCTTTAAAGAGAAAACTTCTGACACGAATCTGATACAAGAGAAATCACACTTAACACATTTGTTAGTGGCAGAATAGCATAAATGCAGTGCAAGGCTATTAAATTTTGAAAAAGAAAACAACAATCATTTTAAAATCTCTTAGTCTCAAGGGCTAACCACTTCTATACCAAATTTCTCTTCTCCCATGATAAACTAAATGTTAATAAAAAACTGTGTGCTTACAACAGAAATTACTGACCGCTGAGATCAGATGGCATTCATCATTAAAGTTCATCTCCTTTAGATGTGATTATTGAAATGACAAAATTATGTGCAGATCTAAATTTCATGAAGGACTTCTAATCAGATTTTCTTTCTTTATATAAATTGGATTTTTTATTGAATCTTGTAAGTAATTCTTAAAATTTTTCATTTGACCTCAATCCTAACCAATGTGCTGACAGCCCTCTCTTATATACAAGGATGAACGTAATTAACTATATTTGTTTCTGATAACTCGTTCTCCCATTGAAAATGATCATTATAACTTAAGATTGAATGTCAATACACCAAACGAAGGTCTAAACTCAAAGAATGTACCAGCTAACTTCGAGATATTTACCTTCCCATTCCGCCTTGGATCAGAGTAAGGTAGGTTGTGAACAACTACTATTCTCCATAGCCCAATTTTCTTGCTACTATCCAGCTCATTAGAATTGATCAAAAATGCTTCTGTTTCTTCATCCACAAACATATGGAAGCAGACATTTTTTTTGGCATACTCACTAATGTTCTTTGGTTGTCGTATTAAATCAAATGCTCCTGATAAAAACAAACATCCTGTACTAATCACCGACAAATTTTAACATAGAAATAAAACATAACATTCGATCAGTACCAAAAATTGCAGATGCGACTACGACCCCACGACAACTTTCCATCTCAAGAAGGTCAGAATCATTAATGTCAAAACCTGTCCGGAGGCCAGGTTTTGCTCCTCTGACAAACCTAAAGAGAATGTTGAATTACCCGTAAGAAAAAAAGTGCATATAAAGAGCAAAATGAGGTAAAATATTCAGAAAAAATAATTCCAGTAAATTCAACCTACCCACAATGCACGCCCATGGACTCTCTTATGTCATATGAATCACTCCTCTGTCTCAGTGAAGGATATCCACCGAATTCAGAGCCTCCAAACTCGGTTTTATTTAAGTTTTCTTCATGAATATATATCAAATTCTTAAGCACGGGAGAAAAGGATGGTGCAGTTGGCATTTGGGAAATAGCTTGTTCCAAAGGAAGGTAACATACTGGACATGCTGGCAAAGCAAACAACAAGAAAATCAAGCAAAATGAACAGCTCAGCTTTAAAAAGGAATAACGTTATTTATGCAATCTAGATGATCATCTGTCTATGTGGTAGTAAGTAGGATCAAGTTGTCCAATGAAGTAGGAATAAGTTGGAATGCATTTATCAATATTGGACAATGTTGCAGTTACCTAGCGCCACATACACCAATGATGATCTAGGCTCTACATGAACAGCATTACTTAAGGCCCGTTTGATTCCCATTTTTATCAAAATGCATTTTTCTCTCTTTTCTTTTTAACCACACATTCTTCATTAAAATAATATTACACGTAAATAAAAAACTTTGACTTATTTTTCATCCATACATTCTCCATCAATATACTATTCTAAAATTCATTTTCATAAAAATGGGTGTCAAACACCCTCTTAATAAAATAACGTGATAAGATCAAAGTAATCATATCTTGGTTCATATAGACACTTAAGTTATCTTGATGCTTCCATAAGCCAAATAACATCACATCTCAGAAAGAGAGATAATGTAAACTTACGACGTGGTCCGGTCCTCTTTCTATCCGCTGGTGGCGGTGGCAATGTAAAACCCTCACATGGATTCCCAGGAGGAAGAGTGTATCCTGTAAAATATACAGGTGGCGTCGGATTTGGAGGCAGAGGCGGAGGCTCTACATTTGCATTTCCCACAACATTGTTTACGTCAGAAGTAATAGCAGCAGTAAAACTATCTCTCTCCCCAGATATTAATGGGGATTTAATACTCATATTTGACATAATAGTTTCTTGCGAATCTTCACCTGCAAACAAGCAGAAACACACAGAATGAACAAAGACTTTTGTTGATTAAGTGATCAACATCTTAATCTCAAAATCAAGTTCAACCCACACGCAGCTGATTAAATGACAATTTCGCATTCTGAGCAATCTGTGCCAGTCATCGGAAACTCAGAAAAATAAAACCCACGACCAATTACATTTTAAATTAATTCAAGAATGTAGAATATGCTGCGGAACTATATGCATTGTGCTCTTTCTTACAAAAATAAATATAGATATGCACTAGAGCCAGAATAAAGAATGCAAAATGAATTTCGAGAACAAGAGTTGAAAACAGGAAGCCAAACCTTTTCCAACATATAAAACCCAGATGAAAACAGCAGCGGAAACAAGACACAAAAGCAGCATTCCAACCTTCTTCCGGGGAGCGAATTTGCAGATCCAATGAAAAAACCTGTCCTTTTCCTTAAGCATCTTGGCAGGCTTTCTTGGCACCAGAGGGGGAGGCGTAGTTTGGATCGAAGATGATAATAAACTACTCTGAAATTGATGTTGTTGCAATGACCCATAACTTCCCGAAGATCGAAGACCCAATGACCCTGTAGTCATTGTTGTCCCCTCAAGTCCCATATTTCACCACTCATCTCCCCTCTCCTCTCATCCGCACAAAATCAACTGTTAAAACAAACCCCAAATTCAAGAAATCTGTACTCTAAATCTTGATTTATAAAACCCAATCCCTTTTCACCCTCAATTTTCTGGCCCAAATCACAAAAGTGATCCCAAAGTAACAAATTTAATACCTTTGAACTGTTAAAATTAGCCGAAATTCAGAATCAACTATATAATCCAATGGCAATAATTCAGTATAGTATTAGAATCTCCAGTAAAGACTTGAGTAATGTGAACCCAAAATTTGATCTCTCAAAAGGAAATCTAATAAAGAATTCCCTCTTTATAGACAGGTGACAACTATCATTGAATCGGAGCTCTATTTAAACCAAAGTAGAACACAGAACATTTGTATCCAATTAAACTCAATATTGATTTTCAATCCACCAATCACGTATAAGAATGCTTGGTATTAACGCAAAAATGGTCCTCAAAATCAACATTAAACAAAAATAACCCTAAAAAGAAAATAATAATAATAATAATAATAAATTAATAAAAATGCCTAAAAATTGAGTGCTGGAATAGGGCAGTGGCGACTGAATTCTAGGGTTTTGAGGCTGATTTCTAAATCTAATAAGTTAGATCACAGTTCACAAGTCCCTTTTAATTTGGAATTTAATTTTTTCCCAAAAAATTAATTTTGCAAATTTATACATGTCTTATTTGTAATAAATGATGTAATAAATCAGTTGAAAAAATCATTGAGGTTATCATCCCATGTGCTCTGAATTTCAGACTGCTGTCATTTGACCCATACGTGGCGCAATTTCATTAGAGAATGCAGCTTGTGGTTTATTCTATTTATTATAGAGCCTTCTATGCCAATTTGTTTCAAATTTTGACTTAATTATAAAATTTAATTATAAAATTTGAAAGCTGGCTTAATCACTAATAGCATATTTGGGAAGACTTTAAAGACCATTTAAATTTTAAATATATAGAAACGAGCAATGAATAAATATCCCTCAAAATATGTATAAATTCAGACAACATTTATCACTCATTCAAAGTTTATTTTTAAAAATTGTTTTTAGCTTAAAATTAATTATGTTTTAAGTAGTTCTGTCGGGCATTATGAACAGAGAAAATTAGTTGTGAAGTTTGCTCGTCTCTTTTCCTATGTTTAACCCTTATTTTGTGGAGATTAAAATCAGATTTTTAGTAAATTTTGATAGAAGTTGACGGAATGTGGTTAAAAAGTTGTGGAATTCATATAATACGTAATTAAAATGAATTGTTAACTTTGACTTAAATTATAATTCGATACCAAATAGGGGCTTAATGATATGTTGAGACTTGTTAAGAAGAAATAATTGATAGTTACAAAATTAGAAACAAGAAGTGATCTAGTAATTTTTTGTTATACGCGTGGAATTGTTTCCAATCTATATGTCAATGAGCATTTAAATCTTCATTCAATGTTCTCAATAAAAAGGTGCGTCCAACTTTAATTCTTACCGTAACTAGATCTTTCCAAACCATCATAATTGAAATATTCAATTTGTCTGTCACATAAAATTAACTCGGTCTAAAGTCTTATCTAGATACATATTCAATTCACACTTTACAATTTATATCCAAAGTCTAAAAAGAACGAGATTAAGTTGAAGTAATTCTATTCCGATCCAATTCCCATTACATACAAAAAATTTATTTGAAGTTAAGCACGAACTTCTCATTTATTCAACTTGATTCTCAAATAGAATTGGATATAACAGGATCATGGCAACTCGCATTCGAAACAAGTTTTGACTTAAAAAAGAGAGAGACATCCCGAATTTTAAATTAAAAGGGTCCATTTAGAGAAGAATGCTAAGAAGCTACACTGCTTAGGATTTCTTAAGCAATAATTAGATTAAAATGGAAATTATTAAATAGGTCACATGGGAAGATAATTTTGGCAATTTAGTATCAAGATTGCATTAATGCATATTGATGCACTGTCTATGTATGATGTATCTAAAGGAGACTTTTGCTAATATTATTAGTTTCTTTTATTAATACCATGACTTTTATCTTTTGCGTAGAGATACATTCAACTCGAGAAAATGGACGTTGGACAAGCACAAAACTAGAATTTCTTAGATTTAGATAATCGACATTGGTTGAAAAATATTGTGAATCACGGGATTTTATTGAATTTTCTATCTAAAAATAGTTCAATATCGTTCTATTTGTCCCCACAAGACACAATGACTTGTTGAATAATACAAATTTGAAACCCAACTACAAAACCAGTTGATTACAATTCAATAAAAGTTGATTAACATCTAAAACGGTAGTTGGTGCTTTGCTATCTTATTTCTTAAGTAGGCAAAGGTCAAAAGTAGAGTACACTCCTTGTTTGCTCATTTATTAAGCTTATGATTATAAAAATATTTGAAACTTGTATTATTTCTTCTATTTTTCTAAAGGAGGAATAAATGCAGTAGAAAACTCCAACATAATTGAATTTGCGTAAGAAGATAAAATGGGTTTTTAAAATAATAAGACATAACTAGTACAACTGATTCTTGTAGAATATTTTTCTATTTTGTAATATATATATATATATATATTTATTTATTTATTTATATATTATGGACTATGCTTTTTATTTGTAGTTTTATAATTTTACAGAATTAATAGATATTTTAGAAAAATGTGTGATAAAAATAAATTTTTAAAGAATGAAACCCAAATAGGAACTTAATTTAACTTAATTTAGATGTTAAATATCTATTTCCTATAGCAATGCACACTCTCGAAAAGGCCAGAAGCTTTGACTTTGAAGTTTGAACATTCAAACTTTCTTAGGAGTCCCAAAAATGTTTGTCAGATGAAGGGGAATTAACGTGAATGAGAACAATCTTAAAAATATGTTCCTTCTGAGAATTTTGGAAATCAAGAATTAATTTACTAATTAAACTCCTTGGACGGGTTGAAGACAGGAAAGAAGAAAACAAGCTGATTTGGATATTTTTTTTAAAAAAAAATTCATACTGTCCAATTGCTTGTCGACACGTGACGCCCCTATTTTTTATCCTGTTTTTTACCTTGAATCTGTTGCATCTTTCTTAATTTACTCATCCGTAATTGATTTTGATTGATCAAATGGTTCGTTCATACGGATATCGAACAATGTGTCATAAGCAAAACATTCAAAGTTTTGATTTTAGATACGTTTTGAAAACAAAAACTCCTTGGGAGAGACGAAGAAATATCATAAACGCATGTGAATTGACAAACTATTTAAGTACTAAATGGCTTCAACTTCTCTGATCATAAATTACGCAATGCTACAATTGAAAACAGCAGATCTCATGGCAATTTTCTCCATTGCTCTTGCTCTTTTTTCTCTACAAAGATTGACATAAAATAGCGAAATTCATCACACGTACTTCGCCTTTTGACGTATTTAGGTTCCCAGGATATTCTTAGTTTTCTTGCTGATACCTCGTACTGGCTTCCTAGGTTCATGCAGTAATGGAATGAAATCCGAAATTTATATGTTGTACCCCTACTGGTTATGATAATACTAGTATATAATGAAATTATATTATCTAATTTAAGTACAGATGAGGTGTCCAGAAAAGAAGGTTTATTTATTTTATTTTTTTTTGGGAACCCATATATACCCGTTTAAATAAAAATAATTCATTATATAATAAAAAAAGATTTATATTCTTTATATACTAACTATCTTATAAAAAGGAGTAATTAACACAAAATGTTCTTACTTTTCAATGTTATTGAGTAAAATGTTCTTATCTTTCATTTTTTGATATTTTCACCCCCGTTTTCATCTTTCACTCATATGGGTGTAAATTTAGCTCGTTGGCTTGAGGAGCCCGTGACTCAGCCTGGGAAAAGCCCGGCTAGCTCCTGTGGCTTGGCCATTTTTGACTCGTAACGAAAATAGAGTTGAAAAATAAATAAATAAATAAATAATCAATGTAAACATAGCTGCCTTGACAAGGTAGTTACCTGTTAAGGTAGCTACGTTAAGGCGGCTATGTAATTAAAATAATAATAATAATAATAAATAATAATAAAAAATTACACAATCTTAAAAAAATTATATAAAAAATTACATAGTTTTAAAACTAACAAACAGCTATGCCCAAAAAAATTACGTAGTTTTTAAAAATATAAGTAATTTTTAAATTTACGTGAAAATTGCAGTAGCGATTTTTAACTTTTTCATTTTTTGTAGACTTTACCCTAATCTTCATTTTTTGTCAGTGGAGGTTCCCATCCTTTCATAAATATGTACCTGATGTATCAACGTCAGACTGTCCAAAACACCGTCTGTTGGCCGAGAAAATTAAGAAATCAACATTCAATAAAATCATCCAAAACACCGTACAACAAGGTTTCAACGTCTAATAAAATCATTGTCGTAGCCGATAGTTTAAGGAATTTTTCCAATCAACTGACGATGTTTTGGACGGTTTCCATCCAAATGGATCTCGTGTGCATATTTATAAAATGTTGGGGACCTTCATTAGCACAAAATGAAGGTTAATGTAAAGTCTACAAAAAATGAAAATGTTAGGAACCACTGCTGCAGTTTTTTCTAAATTTATTTGTTTTAAGAAAAATTGTACATAAATTTTTTTTTTTTTTTTGTATAATATGAACTGCTTATGTTGAGTGTAGTCAACTCCAAATTCCAAAAAAAAAAAAAAAAAAAAAAAAAAAGGTAATAACTTTTATTTAATTTATAATTCGTATAAATTACATAAATTTTAAATTATTTTAAAAAAATATTAGATTTGTCATGAATTAAAAATTAAAAAAAGCAAGTAGAAAGCTTGGCTTGAGCCTTAACTTTTTGGTTGAGCAAAAGTTCGGCTCAACTCAGACCCAAAAAACCTGAACTATTTTTACTGTAGTTGAGCCCGATCTTTGAGTTTCGACTCGTGGGCCAATTTCGCCCGGCTCAACTCGTTGACATTCCTATGAAAAATGTCATTTTCATTTAATTTTCCTAATAAAAAAATGTAAAATGATAAATATAACCTCTTATTTAAATAAAACGAAAAAGAAAAGAAAAGAAAAATTAAAGAACAAATTGCAATTACACTCCCAAACTTTAAAAAAAATTACAAATAAATTCAAATAAATTATTGAAAGGATAATTAGTACAAAATATTCACACATTTCAACATCATTATGCAAAATGTCACAACCTTTGTTTTTTTTTTTTTTTGTTTTTTGGCTTTTTCACCTTTATTTTCATATTACATTGCGAAAATAATCATGTTCATCCATTTTTTTGGGTTTGAACTAAATTAATTAGTTAGCAAATTTATTTGAAAAAAAAATTTGGCTTATTTAAAATAAATAAATTTAAAAAATTAAGGAGATTCGATTCTTGATCTAGAACAAGGAACCGAATTAAACCGAACCCGTCGATTCTTGATTCAGATACATGTTCGGGTATTTAATTTAAGAAGAACCGTTCAATTTGATTCAGTTCGGATCAAGTCCGATTCGAATGTTTTGTCCAGTTCTAGTGAAAAATATAGAAATATAGGTGGAACCTATTGAAAATGATTTATGCATTACATATTAATGTCATATTTATTGAATATCCATCT